TTTTTGTCTTTGTACTTCATTAATGAGAGGTTTGGCTGCAGGGACACGAGAAAAAAAATTAAGTTCATGCAAACTTCTTCTAATTGTTCTTGTAGAAACTTGTAAATTGGTTTTCTCATTAAACTCATCTTTAATTTGTTCGGCTGATTTACGATTGCCTTGTCTTACGATTTTTTTTAATTTTTTTTGGTGATTGGTGTTCAAAATTTTTGGCCGTCCACTTTTTGGTAGATTTGACACACTTTTCCTTTCTTTAAAGTTTTTTACAGTTCTAAAAACAGTTGTAATAGGAAAGCCAAGTTCTTTAGAAATACTTTTATATGTGGCACCACTTTTATATAGACCAATTATTTCTCCGCGCTCTGCTTCAGTTAAATCACGCATTTTTAATTTAAAATTTAAAAAAATTTTGATTTTTTTATGATTTTTTAAAAAATCGAATTTTTAAAACTTGGTTTAAAAAAAAAAGTAAACAAAAACATGTGATAAAAATTATATTATGTGAACTAGCAGGACTTGTACTTTTACATATTAAAATTTCAAATTGTATTATTGTATAGGCTTTTGAATAATTAGTAAAAAATACTAAAAAAAATTTTAGGTCAATTGAGTTTTGATTGAAATTTTATTATTGTTATTACTCGAGCTGTACAAAAGCTTGAAACATTAAGTTCTACATGAAGGTTTAACATAACCTAAGTTACTTATGATATAAATTTAATATGTTGTTGATATGTATGTTTTTACGTAATTAACAAAAACATGCATTCCGATTCTTTTGTCTAGGTACTGTATATAGATAGACTACTTTGTTTTGCGACATAAACAATCGAAAAAAATGACTAATTCAAAAACTTTGCAATGGCACATTCATTCATTGACCAATTGTGATTTTTTATTACACGACGACCGTATTTACTTAAATCATACACTTTAGTACTAGCTTTAATTTTTGTTTGTTGTATATATATAGATAGACTACTTTGTTTGCGACATAAACAAACAATTTAATTTTTTTTTATTATTTATTATTATTGATATGTTATTTTTTTATTAGTTATTATCGCACTCATTCGGCTATTGTTTTATTTTTTTTGGAGTTAGTTGATCAAAGGGTTAAACCGCAGCAAACAAAAGAAAAGAAACCTCTCCAATAGATGGACGTGGTAGATAAAAAAAATAAAAAAATAAAATCAAAAAGGTAAGGAAAGATCAAAAAAATTTTTTTTTTGACATCAGACAAACGAATAGTGAAAAATAAATATGTATAAATTATTAGTAATAATATGTATAAATTAATAATAATTAATAAATTAATAAAAATAATTGTATAATGTCAATCATTTCAAAGAGTAAAAAAAAAAAAATTTTTTTAACTAAATCAAAGAAACGTCTCATTTTTTTCATCTCATGCTTCCCAAAAAATTGTGTTTAATAAAAATTGATTTTTTTTTTATCATCATCTCAACAATGCTCACTCGATCTATTCGATCGATCTGTTCGTTTGTTCGCTCATGTATAATGAGCACTCTTCTACAACGTCTTGTTTCCCGTACCACTGTTTATTTACAAATATGGGGCGAAAAACAACAAATATAGGCAAACAAACAAAAAAAAAAACAGTAGATCAAAACCAAATTCATACAATCTATTCCAATAAAGGAAAAAAGCAGTGTTACGGGATATGAGCAATCTTTTATAAGTGTTAATTATTTATTAATCCAAAAAATCAAAAATATGAAATTTTCTATTTTTATTTGTGCTTGCTGTCTTGGTAAATTCAACTAAAGCATTACCGGTTTCTCTTGACGATAATAAAGAGATTTTGTCACAAATCCTGTTGGTGATAACACATTTCAAAATCTTGATGATGCTCACCAAAGACAATGCGAAGTTCAGGTAGTATATACTAAAGATGATGATCAATTCTTCAATTATTATTTTAATTCTTTAGAAAAATGGCTATTTTAATAAATTAAATGGCGGCGATAAATCATTTTCAGGACAAGATTGTGAAAACAAGCATAACGTGCTATTATTTATTTTATTAATCAAAAAAATCTTAATTAAATATATTTTGTAATAGTAGTATATAGTAGTTTTCGAATAGTCCCATTGATTGTATTTTGAAAAAAAAGCCAATTCTTAAAAAAAAAAAAAGGTCATCAAATAATAATAAAATGCTTTATATTGACAGTGATGAAATTGATTCCAAGTAATGGAACGTCAAATCCGCCTCATAAAAAAAAACTCTTAATTAAACCTTTGCCAATAATACTTTAATGAAGTTGAAGATTGAATAAAAACATAATAAAGAAATATTTACACAAAAATTAATTACATATAAAATAAATCTATCTCCCAAAGGATAGCATGGAGGGATATAAAGTCATATTCAAACTTTCCTTTATCCTTTGTTGTTTAACCTGAGCGGATCTAATTAATTTTAAGAATTCGTGAAAGGATAGGCACCTTTCTTCCCTCTTTTTTTTTTCTGTTTGCACAACATCTACACATATAGGAATCTACATCCCTTTTCGTACTATATTACGAATTAGCGGAGTATTATTATTGTTCCCATCATAAAAATATCATGGAACCAAAACGACTTATAATTGGAGCGGTTGTTTTTCCTGGCTGGTATACTCTTGATTTATGTGGACCTATAAGCCTTATGGGATCAATACAAGGAATAGAACCATTACCAAAAGTTGAAATGTACACAATAACATCGCCTACCCAAACTGATAAATTAGTTAAATCTTTTCAAAACTTTACAGCAAAAGCCGACTTCCATTTTAATGATAAAAATATTCCTGCGTTTAATGTTTTATTAGTACCAGGTACATAAATATATTATTAATAATAAGTAAAACATTGAATTATCTCAAATTATATATATATATATATATATATACACACACATATAGAATTTTAAATAAAATTTTTTTATTAAACAATGAAATAAATCAAAGGATGGTTAAATAACGATACATTGTTAAAAGATCAAGAATATCTGAATTTTTTGAAAACCTGGATTCCAAAAGTTGAATATGTTTTAACTGTTTGTATTGGAAGTGTTTTGGTAGCTGCAACTGGGTTGCTGGATGGAAAGCAAGCAACTACAAATAAACAAGCTATAAAATATCGTTGGAATGATTTAGTTATTGGTGCAGGTATTGACAATTATTTATAATATATACTTTATAATATATCATTTGATTAATATTATTTTATACTTAGGTCCAAATGTTAAATGGTCCAAAGTTGCTCGATGGGTTGTAGATGACAAATTTTATACTGCTTCTGGAGGTTTGTTTGTTTGTTTGTTTGTTTGTTTTATTTTTGGGAAAAAAGAACAAACTAACATTAATATAACAAAATTTTTAATTATTTTATATAGTCGCAGCAGGTACTTAAATATATATTTGCATTTGTATTTTTTTTAATAATAATAATAATAATAATAATAATAATAATAATAATAATTAATAAATAATTCATAATTTCAATTTGATAGGAATGGATATGGCTTTGGATTTTATTAGAGAGGTTTATGGTGAAGAAGTAGCAATAGCGACAGCTCAAGCTGCTGAATATGATTGGCATCAAGATCCACATTATGATCCTTTTGCTAAGAAATTGGGACTTTCGAATTCTAAAGATTCAGAATTAGGATATTTTGTTTAAAAAATATTTTTTCTATCCCAATTGAAATAATTTATATTATAAATGCCTGCAACACCTATATAAAATCCTAGTCATATATATATATTATATAATTATTTTTTCTTTGTAATAAATAAAATGGATCTCTTTTTCTTTTTTTAATGAATGATATGAATAATAATAATAATTGTTACCTAATTTGTACAATTGATGAGATTGTAATTGTTGTAATTTACGCGTTTAATTAATCTTCTTGTAATAATTATAACAATAACAACAACAATATATAAAATATATAAATTGTATAAAATCAATCAATTATTTATTCAATTAGCCATAGAGCTTACAAATTTTTGATATTTACTTGGTTCTAAATTATACCTCCCCACAATTGATCTTTACTTGAAGGATATAGTAGCGGGCTTTTGAGATCTTAATTTTTGTTCAGTCCATTCTATATATGCACTCATTATTGGGTTTAAGGCAGGACTTTGTGCAGCCTAAGGAAGACATTTGATGACTTCTTCTTCTTCTTCTTCTTACTTAAATTTGATGGATGTATTTGAGCATTATTCACTTACAAAATTGGGAAATTTTACGCATAAAATATCTTGTGATTTCATTTTCCTATCAGTCGAGCTGATAGTCCAAGACCTTTTTTATGAAAGCATAATCCTTTCTGGCCGGATTCATTGTAGGAACCTAAACATATTTTAACTTTCAGCTTTTTTCCTCCGCTACCATATCTTTCCATTCCTTTAAAAGTCAGCATTTATCCACGATCCTACTTCGAAGGATGATAGTAATACAGATAATTGCTAATTATAAACATCACATCTAAATCATCTAAACCATATTCCCTAATTACATAGCACACGCACAGGTTATCTGTAGTAGTGGTGGTGGTAACTCTAAAAAAAATTTTGGTAATTGAACCACAACTCGTTGTCTGCTTCTTTAGATGAGCTGGCTGGCTGCTGACTGTCTTTTAATTAAGCAAAAATTTCTTTATACTCTGATGAATTAACCATAGGTTGTACACAAACTCAAGGGTGACACTAGATCCCTTTTTCTATTTAAACATTGAAAGTTTTTTTTTTGCTCCGGTATATCATTTGCTTCTATATATTAATCTCTTTCCATACTAATACCATCATCATCTCATTATAAAAAATTTAAACCGAAAAGTTTCGACCAATATTTATCACCAAAAGAACTAAATACAACCTTCTAGCAGAGAAAGATCATCTCTAAAAATATACCTTCGCTACAGGCATAGTTAATTAATGCCTTTTCCCAAAATCCTATGATGTAAAGTCAATAATAATCTTTTTTATATTATAGATCAAATAATAACGAGGGAAAGAAGTATACAGGAATGTCGATTTTTTTTCATATAATACAGGTCCCCGAACCATTACTGTTGCTGTTTTGTTGTTTTTTATCGCTGTTAATATTAATATTATTTCTTGGAGAACTTTTAATTCATGATTCATTTTTTTGTTTGTTTACAATGAGGTATATAACGCCAGCATAATTTTATTAAATTGTCCCTAGTAAACTCAACATAACATATTAATATTAATATTAAAATCAATATAGAAATCACCACGGAACCAAACCTTTCACCATTACTGTTTTACTGTTATAGTAAAATTAGTCATGTAACGATTTGTGTAATCAAATTCCAAATTTCAAATCTAAATATTTATATCATATAAACATGATAATTTATAACATAATAATAATATTTTAAAATTAATAGTTGAATTATTATTATTACCAGTAATTGTCACTCTATCGGAATTCACAGGTTGGGGAAGGCTTGTAAATTTTAATAATCTGCTAGTATGAACTGCATTTGGATGAACTGTTGCAGTAATCGTCAAAGGATCAAATTTTATTTGTCCATTTTCTTTACTCTTTTCTAATTCATCATGCTATTCTTTTGAATATCGTTCAGATCTTTCAATGATCCATTCTTAAGTGTAAATGCAAGTGTTGATGTTACTGTTATTTTAGATTTAACTGATAGAAAATTGGAATCAAACAATTCAAATGTTAACCAATAAAAAGAAAAAGGTTGTTATTCTTTGAGGTCTATTATTTATTTATAAAGCACATGTCACTTTAACCAGTACTTCAGAAGATTGGATGAAATTCAAGAAAAGTTAGTTCTTTGGTTAAATAAATTATTAAACAATTTGTTTCAAAATTCATAAAGATTTTTGGAGTAGAACTTTGACTTATTGATCTTATAGGTGAATTTTTGTGATGGTCATCCTTTAGGAGGCAGGATGGGCTTAGATGATTTACCTTGTGGTTGAGATAATGTACCTTTTATCAGTAGTTTTCCTGGAGGTTACAGACAAGAAAACATTAGCAGAAATGATGGTGATGTAGAAGTTATTGCTTCATTGTAATTAATTGGGTAGTTGCTGACATAAAGAACAAACAATTTTTTTAAGAAATTGTTATAAAAAAACCAAGGCTCACATTAATATGATTAGTTGCTTCTTGGTCTTGCCCAAATCTTTACATATTTGAAAGGCCATGACAACTTTTCAACCTTTTATTTGTGTTAATATTAACAAATTAAAAAATAACACTTCAAAATTGGCAGCAGCAGGAGTCTCAAGACTGTAAATGCACCGTAACATTATTAATATTTGAGCTAAATATTCTAATGATTATTCTCTAAACACTTTTAAGTTTCATTGGGTTACAGCAACTTTATTTAACTCAAATCCATAAAACATGACTATATTTAGCCAATCAAAATCTAGAATTTTATTATAAAATAAAAACCAGTCAATTTATTTTTTTAAATTTTTAATCTCTGCCAATAATGTTTCATGACTCATTTTGATTTCCTTGAGATCATTTTTAAGATTTTCATGCTCCACAGCCAAAGTTTGCAACATCTTATTATTATGATTTAATTTGTTTTCAATTTCCTTTTCTGGCTTGGGCATGTCTGTCAATTTTCTAAGTCTCTCAGAAATAAATGGAAGAAATTCTGGATCTTCTTGACTGCTATCAACTTCTCTAATTCTTCTTTGAACATCTTTAACTGGTGCATGATAACATCTATATCAAATTATCAAATTAAATTATTTATGATTGATTGATTATTTACCAAAGACAAAGAAAAAAAATTAAGCATAATTACAATATATCAGGAAACCATTCTCTCCAACGACGTTGATTAGGAAGTAAATAAAATAATTCAATGTCTCTTATGATTTTTGCCTTTTGAGCCAAAAATGCTTCATTTATGTCATATTTTTCAATTTGATTGCTAAGAAGACCAATGAACAAATTCATTAAATATATAACAACAATAAACGAAAATGCAATAAATAATATTGCTAGATATGGTTCATCTTGTAATTGCCAAGATCCAAATGCTCCACTATCACCTATTAAAAAAATCAATTATATAATCAATATTTTGGTGAACATTGAAAATGTTAGTTAATTAATATAGATTTACCTGTGAGGAAATTATACATTGCCAGCATTGAGGAGTCAAAACGTGCAAACATGTTTGTGTTGCTGTCAGGTTGTTGTACAATAATTGAATTCTGGTTATATGTTTTGTCACTTGTAAAATATGTAAAATATTTAGAAGCAAGATTCCAAGGATTATTGGAATCATTAACTTTGAAATCAGGGCTGTCTAGTGTATAATCCTGATTTGGTTTCAATATCATATAAAATGCATGTGCAAAGCTTAAAACAATTAAAAATAGAATCATTAAAAATGAGAAAACTTTTCTTGCAACTCCTAATATTATTGCAAAATATCTTCCAAAATAATCTAAGCCTCTTAAAAATAACATGAATTTTAAATCTAATATTAAATTTGATAATGAAATCAACTTGATAGGTGATGGGTTATTATTACTTAACAATAAAATTGAAGTGATGATTGGTAACAAGTAGGCTCCAAGGTCTATAAATAATAAATAATAAATATTATATATAAGATAATTAATAAATTATAATTAATGAAACAATATCATACCAAAATAATTCCAGATATCAGCAAGATATCTCATTGGGTTCCAAATAAATTGTCTTGCTTCAAAATTAAGATGAAACAATCCAAGGATGATTGTAATAATAAATAGTGAATTTCTATTTCCATCAGATAATTTGATCTGAGGTTGCAATTGCAAAGCATGATAAAAATGCTGTATAAAAAATCCAAATTCCCAAATAATATTTGAATCCAAAATTATTCCACTTGGAATTCAAGATTGTTTGCCCATTCCAATGTTTATAGAATTCTAAGGTATCTAATTCAATAAATTTGCTATTTGCTGGCTTATACAACAATTCTTTCCAAAATGGATATTCATTGTTGTAAGTAAGTAATCCAGGATATGGTATTATTAATCTTACACCTGGTTTTTTAGATTTGTTATTTGATTTGTTTCTAAATTTTATGATAGAAATCCAAAAACTTTTTTTTGTAAATTCCATCAATAACTATAGCATTATAAAAAATTTCCACATCATCAAGACCTATCTCAAATGGAGATGATATCATTGAAGTCCAACTAAAGAATTTTGGTATTAAAGTATCATGATTTTTTTCTAGTCTTGGTAATTCTAATATAATTATTTTTAATAAACTAATATTTAAATCAGTATCTTTTATAAAATAACCAAGACAAGAATTGAATACTTTTTCCACTAGAGTACTATTACTATTATCTAATGCTCTCTTTAATATTTCCTTTCCAAATTTGTTGAAATAATAAAACTCATCAAGTATACCATCTAAAATTTCTTTATAAGGTTGTCTAATAATTTGATGTTTATCAATAATTGGCATATTAACATTTTCAATAATATGTCTGAAATCAAATAAATAATCTTCAATTGCATTATTCTCAATAGCTAATTCAATATCATCCCAAATGGTTATGAACTTTGTAAATATTTTGGAATTTCTGTTGCTAACTGATAAAATACATATACAATAGTCTGCAAGTATAATTAAATCATCATTATTTAATAATTTACAACAATCAAATTTAAGTAATTTATGAAGACCATATTCATCAATTGTTGATGATAATTCTTCTTCCATTCCACCATTAATTTTTTGTGCTTTTATATTAATATTTTTAGATTTATTATCATATTCTATTGACCATTTAATTGATTTTCCAGTTTCTATGGTAAATTCTGCTGATCTTTCAGGAAACTTGGACATTTCAAATATTTCTTGTAATGTTTGTTTTACATGTAAACAATAATTGTTCTTTAAATGTATTTTTTGTTGAATATCATCAAATTTTTCTTTGTTAATAATTTCTTTAATGCATAATTGATTGCCTATAGCCATGGCTATTTTACCATGTGGTAAAATTGGTCCAAATAAAATATCTTCACATTCATTTTCATTTGTAAAATACTCTGTAATATCCATATCCATACAATCACCAAGATTATAAGGATCCATTAATTTATAATTATAACTTTTTGTGTCTTCATGATAATATATTACTAATAAGTATTCTAATTGATCTGTTGAATAAATAAAATCATATTTTTTCATATCAATATTTTTTTCCAATTGGGCTACAATATAAAATTATATTTATTAAATTTATAAATTAATATAACATGCAAATAATAAGAATATAATACTTACTTGAAGAAATAATAATATTATTTTTTAATGAATATACAACTAATATTGAATATAACCCATTATATAGAGCCATTATTGTTTTATCTTTATTAAATATAATAATATCATCATAACCTTGACATACTAAATAATAATTATCTTGATATGACATTTTTACACCATTCCATTGTGATATAAATGAATTGTCAAAACCAATTAAAAAATTGCCAGAATTTACAAAAATATTGAGAGAATTATCATAAGAATAATAATATGTTGATTTATGAACCAATTTATCATTTGCATTACTGTCATCATTACTCAAATATGAAAAATTGTATAAATGGCTGATATCATCATAAATATACTCAAACATTAATAAACCATTATTTGTAATAAAATATCCATCATCATATCTATTATATATTTTATCACTAATTATAAAGTCAATGTATTTTTTTTTTGTAAAGTCAAGAAATTCTAAAAAGTCAATTTTAAATGATTTAAATATAATATTATAATAAAACACATATATCAATTAATTAATAATTGCTTACTATAATGTCCTAAATTTTTATTATGATCTTCACCACGTTTATTATATAAAATTATATATTTGTCATCAGAAACATCTTTTATATAAATACCAATAGTAGTATCATCTACTTTTTCAAAATCATCTTCAGAATATTTAAAGCATTCATCATTATCTTGCTGGATAGTTCCGTTGTCAAGATCCACTGTCCATCCAACAATAGATGAATCTTTTCTACTATTAGTTATTAAAAAGTTTAAATTAGGACTACATTTTATTTCATCAATATCACATCCATTATGTGTATTATTTTGATATTGAATAGCATTATCATTTATATTTGTATTTAAATTAGAATTATGATTATTTTCTTCCCAAATAGCATCATTTAAATCATTTGTATTTAAATTATAATTATGATTATCTTCCATAATTGGTATTTTATCTTTTTCTGTATTCAATACTGTTACTACTTCTATAATGTCAATATTATTATCATCATTTGAGTTAAAATTATTTTCTGCCATTTTTAAATAATAATAAATAAATAAAACTTTTTCAATGTGCGTATGAAAGGATAAATTTTTTTTTAAAAAAAAATTTATTTGATAAAAGAAAGATTTCGTATGTTTTATCGGATGCAGTCATCAGAATGGCGTACATCTACTTATACATAGATGAACAAAAGTCTATGATTGATTAGAGCACCTTTATATAGTAGTCTGTATTTTTTTTATGGCCATATTTTTAAAAAAAATCGGTGTAGTCAATTATACTAATTTCGGTAATGATTTTTTACATGATTCGTTGATTTAGTGTTAGAGTTTCTATTTGTAATATAATAGTAATAGTAATAGATGAAAAAAATACATCCGAATTCGTTTGTTCTATTGATTAGAGCACCTTTATATAGTAACTTGTACTTTTTTTTTTTAATATGGGACATCATCTGAGAAAATCAGTGAATTTTTTTTTTTGTCATTTTTGAGAAAATAATGCAGTTACATGTAATTTGAGTCGAGGAATCTATTCAGCTTAGAAATA